AGGCAAACCGGTTGTAACATCTGGGCCGTCGGGACCTTTCGGATTGACGATCCCGATCGGCGCGCAGTTTTTAGATCTGAAGACTGCGTGCCGATCGGGACCGTCAATCTGAAAGGTCCCGACGGCCAAGATGTTACATTTGTTACATCGCACAATTGATCTGGGCCGTGGGCCGGTAGGACCGACGACGGCCCAGATCGGCGATTTGTTACATACTGCGGGATTAGCAATTTCTATAGTGTAGGGAAGATGCACGGTTGGTCATGATTGTTTGCGTCAACCGCCCACACAACCATCTGCCGCCGAAGTGGCACACTTGCACATGTGTGAGTGTGTGTGCGTATCTGCGGTTTTTTTTTTACCATTCATACATCCGGACTTGCCCACCCCCAACCGGACCATCCGCGTCCGCATGTCCGGTTGTCCGGATTCATGTCCAGTTAACCGGACGTCCGGATTAATCCAGACACTGCTCCTAACCCGGTGTCCGGTGTCTGGATGTCCAGGTCCGGGGCAACCATGCCTTTTCGACTCTCACTACCTACGTACCACTACTCCTAAGGCAAAAGTTGTCCAGTTTATTTTTCTGCACAACGTAGTTCTTTTTCAGTTTTTTTTTTTGTTTTGTTTTGCAAGGACCTTCCCTGGCCCTTGCCCAACTGGGCCACCCTGGCAACCCAGGTGAACCAGGCAGCCCGGTCGGTAACAGATACTGAGCTACATAGAAGTGACACTGGAGGAGGAGGAGGAGGAGGAGGGCAAAGACAACAATGAGGAAGAGGAGGAATGGAAGGAGGAGAAAGATTTGAGAGAAGTCATACCTTCTGTGATTTGAGCTGATGCTGGAGATTTCCAATGTCGACCTCCAAACAATTTTGGGTGCGCTCCATTGATTCTGCAAAAGACAGCCAGATTCATCAATCAGAAAACAAAACCCTGCAAGTGTTTTTGTTCAAAGGACGACTACCTTTCCCGTATATCAGCCGTGGGCCTCACAATTCAAATTTCAAAGGCCGGGTGCCGCTGATGAAATTTATCAACGGCGGACTGGCCCCGAAAAATGCAGTGTACGTAACTTTTAAGACTTAGCCTGCCAGCCTGAAAGGTAGTGGTTGTTTAACACATAATAAAAGTCCCATCATTCTCCCACATGTTGATAAACAAGGTCATGAGTTCAAATCCTGAACGGTAAACAAATGAACCATCATTTTCCCAATATATGTTGCTCGAATTGCGTACCATTCAGGATTTGAACTCATGAACTTGTTTATCAACATTTGTGTACAATTAGGACTTAAACTCATAACCTTGTTTATCAACATATCTGTAGACTCTGTACCATTCAGGATTTGAACTAGTGAACTGTCCGTTGATCAATACATACAACTTGTCGCGTTGTCGGAGGGCCTGACAGTTCCGCCTTTCGTGCAGTGAGACAGACGCACCACTATCTTTGCATGAATTTCTCGGTACCAGCCTACTGCAAAAGGAGGGGGTGCCTTACTCGAGCTGGCCGCGGTCAGCTCAAGGTAAGGCACCCAAGTGACATGACAGCAGTAGATGCTGTCCTATCCTTATACCGCCTGCGGCACTCGGGCTTCAGTGGTTATGGGAAGGCGGTGTAAGCGCTCTCGTTGTCAGAACATGATAAGAAAGAAAAGAAGAGAAAACGGGGGAAAGGAAAAGGGTTTTAAAATTAAATCGTTCTTTTACTTGCGATCTGAACCGTTGTCTTAGTTCATATTGGATCCAATAGCAAAGAGGCCTAATTGATGCGTCAGTCCACTTTTTTTTTACATATATATACCCCCTATCGCCTTTTTTTTTCAAGCATCTGAATGGACTAACTTGAAGGTACTATGAGCTGCCCTTTTGCACCCTGAACCTTATTTGGACCCGCCCCTGGGTATTTGGAACGCCAGTTGCGGTGTCAGGGGAGAAACCCTGACAAGGTTATCTGCCCGGGGTTTTTAAATGTTGGACGATGTCCGGCTTGGTAAAAGGTTATCCGAGCTTCACGACTTGATGAGATTGATTATCCGCCAGAAGTTTATTCAGACCTGACCTGTGACCGAGAGACTAAAACTTTTCGAGCCTAAGACCTGATGTCTGCGGCATCTGAAAGTGGCAACAAGAACCAGCGGCGTGGCCGGTCTCTCCCCATGTTTGGTAAGGCCGCACGGATGTACTGTCATGGGAGAAATATATATATATATGAAACTCCGACGAAACAGTTTGCCACAGCCCCTCGTTTGTTGTCCTCTTCTCCCTCTCTGCCTACGGTTTACCGGACAGCTCTGTTTGACTATATA